AGGGTTTTTGGAGTGGCCCTGACCCACACAGGACAGTCAGCCAGAGGCACAGCAGCACCTCCAGGGTCTGTCAGAGAAAAAGGACAGCCAAGCATGTTTCCAGAGCCTGGTGTTATGAAAACAAGTAAACTCTCAGGCTCTGGCACAGAAGTGCTTTTTGGCCCATGGCAGCAGGCCATACCTCTATCAGCAGCTGGCTGAGCTGAGCCCCTGGCAGGTACAAGGCAGTGTTAAGAGACTTGACACCTCCCATCACTCACTGCAACACCCAGGCACTTACTTGCCATAGCCCTTCCATTTCCAGGCTCGCATTTTTCAGCTTGCTTTCTTATGAAAAAGTCCTAGCACATTTACAAGAACTGTATTAAGAGCCAGGGGGTGGGGGAGGCAAGAGAATTTCATAAAAGCTAATCCAAGCTTACCTGTGAGCTGTAACCTGCACAGCTCGAGGCCAAGGACTGCTGTCCCACAAGCACCCCACTCCTTGCTGCTGCACATGTGTGTGCTGGACACCTACAGCTGGCACAGGCTCTGCTGAGGCACCGTTTATGACATTCCTGGATCTTGGCTGATGGCTCCTGCTGCTCCTTAAGGATTTAGAGGTTGGTGCTACCTCCCGGCTTCCTGCAAGCACGCTCTGCAGAGCACACCTTTCCATATAGAAAGAAGCCAAAGTTACACACTGCTCTCACCTGGCCTGCACTGCAGCCTGCTCAGACAGAGCACTCAACACTCTGAACACATCTCACCTTGCCAAAGCCTGTCTTGGATTCCCAAAACCACTGCTGCCTCAAACAACTTCCTGCTGGAAATCAAGTGTGCTGGTTTTGGCTGGAATAAAGTTCATTTTCTTCACAGTAGCTAGCGTGGGGCTGTGTTTTGGATTTGTGCTGGAAGCAGTGCTGATGGTGCAGGGATGTTTTCCTCACTGCTGGGCAGAGCTTGCACACAGCCAAGGCCTTTTCTGCCCCTCAGCCCATGGCTGAGCTGGGGGGCTCAAGGAGGTGGGAGGGGACACAGCCAGGACAGGTGACCCCAACTGACCCCAGGGATGTCCCAGAGCAGAGGGAGCCCTGCTGGGCACGTAAAACTGGTGGGAGGAGGAGGAGAAAGGGAGAACATTCAGTGATGGTGTTTGTCCTCCCATCTCCTGGGGATGGCTGAACACCTGCCTGCCCCTGGGAAGCAGGGAATGAATTCTTTGCTTTGCTTGAGCACATGGCTTGTGCTTCCCCTATTACACTGTCTTTATCTCAACATGTATTTCTTTCACTTTTACCCTTCCAACTCTCTTTTCCATCCCACTGGTGGGGGAGTGAGCAAGTGGCTGTTTGGGGTTTGGCTGCCAGCTGGGATTAAACCATGACAGCAAGTCACCTCCTTGCATGATTTTGGTGTCATTGCATGGTTGCTGGGGGTAAAAAAAATCCTAAATTCAGCCACTGGCAAAGAAAGCAGGAAGTTTTCTTCCAGCACTATTGATTCTCCTCCTGGTACCTTGGAAACAAGAAGCCTCGGGAAGGGGTCAAGGAAGACTCCACATCTAACACCAGGTTTTACAGCAGATATTAAATACAGACTCCCAACTGTGACTCCTGCCCTTAGCTAATCAAAATAAAACTCTCCCAACAAAAAGGCTGACTTACAGTGGGGTAGAGACACAGTCGACTCAGAAAATAATTATGCTTCCCAATTCATCCCAGAAATGTAGGCAAATATTTAAAATTTGCTGTAAAATAAGGCTCATGCTTATTTTACAGGGTAAACAGTGCTGGAAACAGGACTGTGAGGTTTACATTTTATACCTTCAACAATAGTGTCTGCATACATGCAGGGAACAAGGAAAGCTCAAACATCCAGACCCACAGCACAGCCATAATCAAAAAGGCTCGCTCTTTATTTTAAACATAAAAAGAAACATTGTACACAGCATTGTTAGAACTATTCAGTACCTGCATTCCAGAATTGTGCCCAAAACTTTATTTTATAACTTTGAAATTAAAACAAAAGAAAGAAAATATCTTGCCCTTCTGCTGTATGATGTTCAAGGTTGCCCTGGATCGAAATTCCAAGTGCCTGGAGGAATTTACCAGCTTAACCAGGAGACGTGGCAATGCAAACAGAGGAAGATCAATGTGAGCCCTTAGGATACTTTGACAATACCACAGGTTGCAGCAGGGAGAATATGGATGCTTGTACTGCACCACAGGCAGCTTACTCTTCTGATACTCTGCAGGTTTAATACACAACCAGATGCACACACACCTTCACTCACACAAACCCTGGTCACACACAAAATAATAATAATAATAGCAATAATAAAAACATGAAAAGTGACCTAGATTTTTTTTTCCCTTAGAGAGAAGACTCGCACTCTGTTTTTAAAAAAGGGGATAATACAAAATTGGCACAAGTAGAGGGAAACCTGGGGGCTAGGTGTAGCCCATCAGCTTCTAACCTTCCAACTACAGCAAACACAGGGTGGAATGGGGTGCAGCATTGCCTTCCAAGGGGCTGTCAGCAGTACAAGCTAGTGGCAAACTTCCTTCACTTGGAGTGACAAAGATGGTTTGTTATGGGCCGTGAAGGAAGGACAGCATTAGATAAGGACACGGGGACCTTACACTAGAGAAGAAGGGAGCCCTGACCAAAATAACCCTGAGTTTTTTTCCAGCAGGGAGGAAGTGTGCTATATTGTGTGTTTGGGAGGAGCTGGCGGTTCCCTGCTCATCCATTCCCTAATTATTGCATTATAGTCATGATTCTCTCTCCCTAAAACTTAACCAAGGGCATAGATAGACAAGGAGTCAGTCTGCCAGGACAAGAAGTGACTGATGCTGTGCTTAGAACTTCACCACCACTTCCACCCCTCCCAAGATGCCCCAATGCCACCAGCCTTCTGAGAAGAAAGCAGATGTTACTGCAGGAAAGAAGCTGCTAGATCAGCCAGCATCCCAAACATCATAATGGTGTTTTATAACATCCCAGGAAAAAGCAAGATTTCACTACAGCAGAGACAGGAGAGGAAGAAAAATTCTTGCTGTCAAAGTAGTATCTGAGTGAATCCTTTCCTGAACTCCCTTTGGAAAGCACTGCTACAGATTTCTGGGCTTTCACAGTAGAAGCTAGAAACTGCTTCTGCCCTGTTCTTTAGGAAAGGCAATTAAGTCTGCCTGCAACAGAGGCCTTTTCAGAGCTCTTCCAGAAAGAAAAACATCTTTATGCCAGAAAGAAAACTTGTTATGTACCTTCAGGCCAAAGTCTTTCAGAGGTTCATAGGTCTGGGGGTCCCAGTTTTGGAATACTACATGAAATGTCTTAAAAAGTCAAATAAAAACTTGCAAGCCCCAACTCTGCAAATTAAGCCTATTTTGAAGATGTTTCATATTAATCTTTCAAAAACCCCTGGACACCTCTATGCATACAGGTGTGACTGCATGCATGTTCACACACAGAGCTGCCTTCTGGAAAACCCCTTCACGTCAGCCTCAGGACAAAGGTCACAATGCAAGACAGAAAAAAAAAAAAAAAAAAAAAAAATCAACTCCACAGTAAGAAAAATTACCACAAAAAAAATCTTCATAGCCCAGATACCAGACCTGCAGCTCCCCTGGAATATGCAGTGGGATGAGCGTCTGCGACATCAGACTGTGGTGAAGTCCTACTTCCTCGCTTGTTTGTACACAATGTCCTTGTTCTGACCTTTATTGCTTAGAACACCAGCTGTGCTGGGAAGACAGAATTGATAAAGATGCTGCTCCCTCTCAGGAGCCAGGTCAGTGTATTTGGAAGACCATAGCAGGACTTCTGTACTATAGCACCGAGGAATAGGTCTCAAGCCCATGGGGAAAGCCCTGCTGCAGGCCCATGCTCAAGACCAGGGCTGTTGGAACCTGAAGGATTCTTGCTGCCCTCTTGGGCTTGCTCTTATTCCTACCCTGAGCTGCACTGCAGCTACTGCAGATCTCAGATTCTGCTCACAGGTTAAGGGTTACCAGTGAGTGACTGGCAGAAGCAGCACTGAATTCTGGTCTGTGCATTTGGTAATACATAGTTTACAAGTCTCTAAACATGATCAGTTGGCCAACTGCAGATGAAGATCCATCTCATTACTTTTTGTAAGTCACACCATCACCCGGGGAGCAAGGTCTCCAAGCTCTCTGCTGAGGCCAGCAGAAGGCTGAGCCTTGTCCCTAGGTACCACGTGCCCCCCTGCCACAAGCAGAACAGGGTCTCAGGCACGATGTGAGCAGCTGTAGTGGGGAGAAGAGAAGGTGGAAGGGAGGGGGAGAAGGTGGCCATAGGCAGACATCCATCAAATGCTTGTCTGAGGATTGACTCTTCAGGGTTGCCAAGTTAGTCCCTACTCACCACAGCTAAGAGCTTTGAGCACTGAAAATAAAAGGTTTAAAGAAAGTGCTTCAAAGACCTACAGCAGGCAAGTTACATGTCAGGATTAACTGCAATCTCTTGGAAAGCCAGGGAAGAGAAGGCATGCTGACAACCATAAAACAATCCTTTGCCGGAACAGCCTCAGGATGGTTCCAGCACAGGAACCTTCCCTGGCCTTCAACCCAACAGAGAAGTCTCTGAGATACCAAGGTGGAAAGAGAAAGGGAACAGGATGGTGTGATGGGGATAGAGGGGAAAGGTAGATTGGTTAATACAGTGAAAGTCTAACACTTTTACCAGCCTCTTTCCCATTCATCATCCTGCCCACCTTGCTTTCATACAGGGACATCTTTCCAAAACCACGAGGGGGAAATAAAACCAATGAACAAACAAACGAAACAGTAATGAATTTTGTCACAGGGCCCTGCTGAAAGAAGGCTCGACAGTTTGCACATTAGAAGGACATGATCCCTATGCAGAAAGTGCTGCTGGAAAAGGAGAACTCCCAAGTTGCTAAATATGGCCTGATTGTTCTCGGGACACGACGTGTAACAAGGAGAAGCTTGAGGTCCAGGCTGAAATCAGAGAGCAAATGCACTGTCTTGTCTGGGCCTGTGAGCAAGTGTCTCAACACAATCCAAGAGCCCTGTGAGTCTCTCCCGAAATGCAAGTGTGTCCAGCTCCCGCACTCAGTCCATCTCCATCGACATTAGCCGGCGACGCTCTCGTCTCGTTTCCTGCACTTCCTTCTTGCAGCACCAACGGGAGCTACAGTAGCCAATAAGGCAGGATAGGAGTCCAATGACAGTGGCCAGACCGATGCCAATTAACAGGGGGTACTTGAAAGCATCCAGGACTGAAAAAGGAAGGCACAGTTGTTAGATATCACTGAGAAATTCAGACATCCCCTTTATTACTTCTTGACTGAAGAAGGAGAGAATACCACATTATTCAGTCAGGGACAGATTAATTATTTCAGAAAGAAATTACACTAATTTTCCTACTTGATTTCCATCTTCCCAGGTTTGAAAAATTGGTCTTTTACTGGTCTCTCTTTCCTCTCCACCCTAATTCTTTCTCCATCATTTCAAAGCCTTGGAGAGGCTGGAAACTCCCAGAAGAACCTTGGAGTGAGTAGCAAAGTAGAGTTTATTCCAAGAGTCATCCAATTTCTCCAAACAAAAGCATTGGACTGTTTACCCATCAGCGGCAGAGTATGGCTGCATTCTTTGCAATACATTTCCAAAAAGCAAGGAGTGGACTCCTTTATGCTTTGAATTATTAGAATTACTATATATTTACCCTGTCTAATCAACCTTCAAAGCTGGTGCCTAAACAAAAAAATTGATTTTGAAGTACCTACTGCTCAGTTAAAAGGCAGTAAGAACTGAAAAGGGTTCAGAAAGCACAGTTATAATAGTTATCAGCACAGTGGTGAGAACAAAAGCTTCTTGTTCATTTCAAGTTCCTGGAACTTCCAAAAATGACCTCTCCCGGAAAGATCAAGAAAGCAACTAGCTCAAAATCCCTCCTGTATTAATTTTCCTCCTTAGCTATGTGCTGAATGCAGTATCTAGTGTGCAACTTCCTGCTCATGAAGTCTGGCAACACTTGCAACTCTGGGTGGAAAGCAGACAAGGTATAAAGTGCAGGGAGCAACCTGTCTTGTCATTAGAGAGGGAGGAAGGAGTCAGAGCTCTGATTTTTCTCCTCTCAGCTTTGACACTAACCACAATATGACTAACTCACGTGCCCAATCTGCAAACCAAGGCTTCCTCCAGCAGGCAGCAGAAGGGTTAACATTTGGAGAGAATACCGTGCCCTTGACTGAAAGATGCCTCAGCTACACAAAACATCACCAAGAGGTGATCAGGAAAGAAAAGGCTCCAGTCTTACATCTATTGACTGTTTAGGCAGAACAGATTCTTCTACTCTGAAGAATCCTGAATCAGAAATTGCTAACCGTAAAAAAAGATGACAAAATCTAATGAGATCACCAGAGGCACCTTTAAAAGTAGTTACGGGGAATGTTTGCCACAAAAAGACATAATAAAGTGTTAAAAACTAAATTGAGAACACATGTTTCAGTCTCTTACCATCCATTTTCACAGACAGAAAGATGGGTTTGGCTTTGATGTCAGGCTCCCGCTGCCACACGCCCGTGGCAGAGCGCACCCACGGGGTCACTACGCAGTAGTGGTTCCCAAAGTCATGGTCCTCGCAGCCGTGCACGCGCAGCCGGAATTCCAGAGGGCTGATCCTCTCCAGGCTGAGATCACTGCTCCCATTCCTCCTGCTCTGTGTCACAATCCCTCTCCGGTCCAGCGAGGCCAGCAAGACGGGCTCTCTGTCCAGCGCAAAGGAGCGCACAGCAAACCAGGAGACATCGAAGGACATATCATCTGTGTTTGTGGACAAAGAAGAATTCAGTTGGTGAGTCCTGAAAAGTATTCGTAGTGCCATTTCTCAGCAGAAAGGTTAATCTGTAAGCAGCACAGCCAGCACTGGGCTGACAGCAGAGGCAAGAAAAAAAAAAGAGAAAACAGGAAGAAAAAGAGAGAGTCCCCCAAACAAGTCCTTTCAAGGAAGATTCCAGCAGTGAACTGCAATGAAATGCACTGACAGGAAGAATGGAGTTGTACAGAAAGGGTGCAGTCACTGTCTTCATGAGGGCCTGCACAGCCACAAGATCAGAAGGCTCTATCCTGAAGGCCCCTTCCTTACATTTAGAGTTTGCCTAAACAAACACAAACCCTGCACAGTGCACAAAAAATTACCTGCAACAGTACAAAGCGTTCAGGAGCAAAGCCTGACCATGCTGCTTCTGTACACTTTTCCCAGAGTTGTGGGTTACTGTGACACATCAGACATGATGCCTTGTACAAGTTTCACCACCCAAAGACACAGTCTATAATATGGATTTGCAGGAACTTACACTTTTAACACAGCTGACAGGTAGTCAGAGTCCAGCAGCACATCTAGCTCGCTGTGTGTTCATGCAAGGTCCTACTGATCTCATTAACATGTCTCAGTCTTAAGCCTATTAGGTAGATGTAGCTCAGCATCTACTTTAAAAATCACCGCTATTCTTTGCTATCATGAGCCCAGCAACACCTGTCAGAGTCTGAAACCTGGCATGACCTGCAGCCCAGACAGGAAAACCTGCTCCCTTGTTTCCTCACAGGTCTTCTTTCCTGGCACACGAGCAAACCGACGGGCTCAAACTGGAAACAGAAGTTGCTATTTCTGTCCTGAGTTCGGAGTACTGGTACAGTGTGTGCACACCTAAGGCAGTCCCACTGATTCTTGGCAATGTATCAAACCTCCATTTTCTTGTATTGAGAGCTCTGAAAATAAAGTACTGGCAATCTGAAATTTAAAACTGATCTTTTGTCTAACTGAGTTTGCTTTTCTCTTAAACTTTCACATTTGACATCCAGGCTAATGGAGTAACTGAAGCCCTAAGCCTACTGTTGTACTGAAATTGTTTACAGATCTAAGTGAAGATAATTTTTAAGTCTCTATCAGTCAAGCTAGCTCTTGGGCAAAGAAGGGCACCTCCATATTTTAAAGTAAAGGGATGTAAAGGGATAGCCTCAAGTCTTTTACTTGAAGTACATTATCAGCTGGCCATGTGGGACATTCGTCCTTACTACAGAAAAAAACTCAAACAAACCAGTGTTTGGAGTATAATCAACTCCTTCCTAAGGTGCACTGTTTTTACACACATCTACAAAAACAAAACAAAAATATGAGAAAGCACATGTTACTAGCAGAGACAGAGTCTGACCAAACTGCTTTGGGACACAGGCCAGTTTCCTGCCCTACCTGGTGTTCTGGGCAATGCACAGAATCTCGGGAGAGCACCTGGCCTGCTTTGCAGCCCTACAGCAGGAGCAAGTGCCCCAGTCCTACATGGGGTTCAGCACAGGTCACATGGACCAGCAGCCCTCAGAGGAATCCCTCTTGCCTCCCATCCTACAAATACTCCCATGAGATACTTGGCAGAGCACTCGGACCACTTCCCTTGAAACCAAAGTTAATAAAAATTACCATAAACACATGTTCAGTCAAAGAGAGCAAACTCTGACCTCTGCTTTGTGCACTCATCCAAGTGTCTATGGGAAACAGGGCCTCTGCTGGAGAGAGCTCTGTTTATAGAAACCACTCTTCATCCCTGCTGTCAGTTTATGCCAAATACGGTAATAGCACTGGGAATGACCAATTCCTTCCGAAGATCCAAGACTGACGCTTGCTCTTGTGTTTCCAGGTGCTGTAGGAGCATTATGGACACCTTTCAGGCTAAGTCAAATTATACTTAAACACACCACTGACCTTGCTGGAAAGGGTTTCAGTAATAAATTTAGATATTGAAAGATAATAATCTAGTCTTCAGATCCTCAGGCAGCTTTGAAGAATTCTTTCCTTTGAATCACAGATAATTTGAGGTTCCCTTCCCTTCACATGGGTACAGGCACTTGCTGTCATTTTGAAATATTTGAATCTATCTTCTGTAATTACAACATGGGACAACAGTATTATGCCAACATATTTTATTAGCCAGTATACAGTCTGCAATTAGTGACTCACCACAGACAGTCAGAGGGAGGATTTGGCTCCGAGTACTCTGTCACTATCCTCCTTGAAATAGCTTAATGCAGCAAAGTCATCTGATTAATTTCTATATATCTCTGGGTTTCATGCAATAAAAACACAGGCAAATTTAGCAAACACAGGACATAAATCAGGTGCTCTCTAAATACCAAAGATGAACATGCCTAGCAGCTTCCAAGTGCTAATAAATATGTACATTCACTGGCATAAACCAGGTCACACACTTGGCATCTGCACCATTCCACACACCTTGCATCAATGTTGACGAGTCACTCTCAATTTTTGACCCAAATCTACAAAAACTCCACTTCAAGAACCACACTCATACTCAACAAAGGTTTCTTTTCCTGGCTCTTTCTGTGCCACGGTCAGTAGTGTGGGACACCTGGCCAAGGTGAAGGAGAACATCCCAGTGCTCACAAGAGCATCAAGGACCTCAGTGCCACCAGCACATGCAACCCTAAAGGAGCAGAGAGCACTGGGAGCTGGACACTTCAGAGCTCTTTGAGCAGAGTTAGCAGTGCTGCTGTGCTTCCTCCCCTCCTCAGCCAGCGAGGATCATCAACATGTAAAGCACATCTTTATGCACATTTTGATTTGACACACAGGGCTAAGCTGTCTGGGTCTTAGCTACTTCCCTGACCAATCACTCCTCAAAAGAGGGAATCCTATTTCTAGACCAGCTTCTTAGGAACCATACACTTCCACTGCTTAGAATGGAACTCTCTCAGCATCCTGTTACAGTGTTGAATCACAATTTTGAGACCCTTTTTGTTTACCACATTTAAATGAGGTTGAATAGGGCTTCCTAGAGAGCTGAGCAAACCACTTCAAGCCATATAAGGGGTAAACAAGCTGGTTTTGTTAAATTCTCTGGAGTGCCCACTGGGTCTGTCTGGAGCAGATAAAAAACCCCCACATCTCCTTTCAGACACAGTAAGTAATACTTTTAAATCCCTAAGCACACAGCCCAAGAATGGGTGATCTGGGAAGTCTAGAGAGATCATTTGTGAAAATGTGTATTCAACAGAAGTATCAGAAGCAGCTTTTATATCTTCAGGGCACAGAAGAACTACTATTCCCCACTGACACACACACATATTCCCCTCGTATCAATTCAAAACACCAACCACAGCTGCCAAGCCAAAGGAGCACTTCTTTAGATGGAGCAGTTGCTGCCATGTACTGGGCTTAGTAACACACACTCGATTTCAGCAGGGTCTCAAAGAAGCAGAGGAAATTAAAGCATGTAGCAGTCACACCAAAACCTTTTCTACCCTTTTGAAAATTTCCCACAGGGCAGATACACACACTGAACTAAAAAAAAAAAAAAAAAAAAAAAAAAAAAGGATCGATCTAACAAATGGCACTGACAAAGCTAACTGGTCATTTAGCTTTTCTTCAGCTCCTTGGAAGTACTTTAATTTTTTTTTAATTGTGCATACAAAGAGGGAGGAGAGGTGGCAGCTGACACCCATGTACTACAGGAGGCATATGTACTAATCCACATGCATGCCTGCAAAATTGAGTGTCTGTGCGCACAAGAACAGAGCTGGCTGGCATACCAAATATGATCGAAGGATGTGCATTTAACAGGCCATTTTATGAGGCATCCTGCTCCTCACTTTGCTCACAGGGGACCACAGACCACAGCCCTGCAGCAGGTCTGACATGAGAAGTACAGATGGCCTTGAAAGCCACCACGCCCCTCAGAAGGGAGTCAAATGAATTTGCTCTTTTCTCCTTTCTCATCACATTCCCAAATGGAATGACCATGTCTGTAGTGCAGTCATCTGTTTTCTGCCAGAAGATGCTGATAACTCTTGCCCTGTTTCTCTAAGTGCCAGGTGTAGGCTTTCCCTAACAGTGTGCCTCATGTCCCCAGTGGGATGAGACAGCCCTGCTATTTTCACAGTCTGTCTAACATTTGGCACTAATTTAAAAAGCAAGTCCTCCATTCCAGTTGTGAATTAAACTGTGATACTGACACAGCATAAAGACAGATCAGAGATGAGATACAGAGGAATAAGGTCACCAGTGAGGAACTCCATCTGTTTGCTACCATGCAAGCCCTTCAGCCCTTCCTCTAACCTGCTCCATTAGGAGCCTCCAGCTTCCAAGGCCAAGAAGGCAGATGGATGAGGGAAGTCTGCACACCTTGCATAAATTCCAGCTGTTCCCTGCAGCTCTTTTGCCAGTCTCATCCAGAGGACCAGCAAGGACTGTGTTTCATCACACAGCATGACTGGTTAGGCCCCAAGTCCTGCTCATCCTGCAATTGAAGCCTCAGAGCATGGACTGAAAAGCCCCCTCAAAGCTTGCCACAATACCACATTTTACAGCACTCTAGGTTCATTTGTCTGTGCCTCATCTGCCCCATTCCAGAGTGAAAAATAAAGAAACTAAACAAACCACCAACATGAAAGAAACAAGATAAAAAAACACCACAGAGGTTTGCCATGTCCAAGATGACATTACCCAGCTATGGAACAGATTACAGTGCTGACATTTAAGACTCTGCTCTGGCTGCCCTTGACTGCTGGAAACAGCATCATCTCCAGCTCCAGGGATAATCTATCAATTCAACAGACACCCACAAACCTTTGTGAAGCTGCCCAGTTAAAACTTAACTGTGCTGATCAGCAGCTCCTCAAAAGACAACAGCTTTTTACTTCAACCTTTTTGATTATCCTTACCCTGTCTGTGTTCCTCCCAGTCCAAAGGTACCAAATACACACAAACCCATCCCAATCTCAACTTCAGTGAAGAGACAGGAGAGCCCCACTACTAAGTGGCCTCTTCACAGCATGGATAAGGCTGGAAGGGACCAGTGGAGGTCATCTGGTCCAACCTCCTTTGCTCCAGAGTTATCCTAGAGCACATGACATGGGATTCTGTCCAGAGGGCTTTTGAATCTCTCCAGAGAAAGAGCCTCCACATCATCTCTGGGCAACCTGTTCCAGTGTGTGGTCATCCTCACAGTAAAGAAGTTCCTCCTCACATTCAGGTGGAATTTGTGTTCCAGTTTTCAAGTTTTGAGTCAGGGATGCTGAGTCCTCTTTCACAAGGCAATGCCAAGCTTCTTTAGGCTGCTGAACACCAGCAGAAGCAGCAGCTGCTCCCTGTCAGCAATTATTGCTTTGGAAAGGGAGGCAGCTGCTCTGGGTACTGCCTTGCAACAATACCTGCAAGAGCTTGAGCACACCTCAACGTGGAAGAGGCTTCCTGCTGAGCAGCAGGCACAGGACAGGCTGAGGTAGATGCACAGGCACACATCACTGCTTGCTGTGCCCAATATCCCAGGCTATGACTCTTTTGACAGCAATAAAGTTTACTCAGCTCTTCCTCCCTAACAAGCATTTCAATAATACAATCTACAGACTTCTATCATTTTTTCACAGGCAGCACATGACTGTAATCTAGCAAATTGCTTCCCTGCCACGCACAGATTTAATGTAGAACAGACATCTTGTAATTTCAAAGTGATGGGCCTTTACTAAGCCTGGTACTTTATCTCATCAGCTACTACATCATAAGTAATATTTTCTGCACAGCACCTCTTTTGTAGTGGTTCTTGCGTAGGCTTTTAGGTTTGGCATGAATCACAACAACTTTATATTTAGATATATTAACACATATTTATATTTACATATATATTTGTAGATTTATTTTAAAGAGATGCTTATATTCATATACATAATGACTCAACTCACTCCAAACTCAAATTCTGGGTATAAGAGAGTTACGCTCACAGCATTTTGATGAAAAGCAGCTCAGACAATGCTTGGCAAGCAGCTAGGTTTTGAGCAATTCTTTGAACTCTTTAGCTCTCCATAAAAATTTGCTTTCGTGTCTCCTACCCTTCTCACAGGAACTAGGTACTGTATTTCTTTCTTCCACATAAAAAAGGATGCTCAACTCTGAAGTCCATGAACATTCACTTTGACATTCAGGCTCTAGCAGTCAACTATTATGATTTTTAGATTTACCTTAAGCCTTAAATTCACCCTGAAGGGAGAAGCTGACTGACCAGGTGTCTAAGATTTCTTTACAGATGACCATTTCCTTCTAAATGGCTTAGGCAATGGAACTCCATTCCATTTAAAGGGAATAGTTTTCATGGCCCATCTGATGGCTGTAGGTTGAGATTACCTGCATTGGGGTCAGTTGGTGGGGACAGCAGAAGAGGATTTGATGGTAAGAACATTTTTTCCCTCTCCCCTCAGGAGGTAAAAAGGAAAAAAAACACTTTAAATTGAGCTGTGTAAAAGCAAGCACACTGTCCTGTTTTTATCTAGTTCTACAGAATTGTTCTCAACTCTCCAGCCTCACTCAAAGGACATAGGGCTGTCCTTCTGAAGGCAGATGAGTTGCAAGTGAAATAATTTTGCTGAAATACCTGGCTCAAGTGGCATTCCTTCCGTTGTGATGATACACAGCAAATCTGCCACCTCGCCCTGGTAAATCGTTGGGCTGTCAGAATGCACCGAGACATTGAACACAGGACCTGGAAAAGAGTAACCACAATTATTCATGACAGGCTTTACTTCATGGTCCAACAGCCTTCTTGCACATTTTTGAAGTATTTTCTCCTGGTTTCTAGAGACAGAGCTCTGAAGTAGGGATAAGCAGCCACTTAAGTTTTTTGTAAAATAGTTTTTCATTTTTAGCCATTTAATCCTGTACTAAAACAAAGTACCCAAACCATCGGACCTTTCACCCAGCACACAGGCTGCTCCCCAGATCTGCCTTCTACTCTCCAGCACCAAAGGAGCTGCTCTTCCACTGGTGACTCCTTTAAGAGCATGGGACTTAATATCTTCAGGCTAATCCAGAATGGATCTTTTTGTTGAGGCTGTCAATAGGAATTCAAGTTAAAGCAAAACAGTATCTTAACCACAGCAATGGTTCTACAGTGGAGCTGGAACAGACAATACAAGTAATGCATCTGATAATACTTTTCTGTGGGCTTTCCTTCAGGCTCTGCCACAGATAGCTTCTTCTGTAGATGTCTCAAAGCCCAAGGGTACAGTAACTCCTTCAGCTGCAAAGTGGTGATGATATCAATGAAAACCATTAGGCTGTTTTGAAACACTCAGATACCATGACAACACTAAGATGTTTTAAAAGACTTCTGACATGCCTAAGTTAAAAACCCAAAACTTCCCCAAATTTTGACAAAAGCTGCATCTCTTGTAAAAAAGTAACAAAATCACAACTCCTCAGATATACCAGCATTGTTAATACTCTCTATTTCACAGGGCAGAAACTGAAGAATGTACCAAAATGCCTCTGTGATTTCTCTACTAATCAAGGTGAAGGAGACAAGCAGAAGGAAAGCTGATCCCAACGGTGACCTCCAGGATGCCTTTGGGGGAAAAAGCCAGGGAACCCAAGAAGGAATTTTGGACTCAGATTAAGAAGTAACCCTTTTTACACTCCCTGGACTCCCATTATTACTTGGCTTACCTATTTCTTCTGCACAGCAGCAGCAACAATAAGCACAGAAGGGTGGCTTGGAGGGAGGAAAGAAAAGTTGTTTATTTTCTCTCCTCCACTCTTACCTGCTAATCTTTTAGTACAAGAACCCTACATTTCAAATCCAGTGAGTATCAGTGGCAAATAATGCTTTTAATGAAGAATACTTCAGGAAATCATCCAAAACAACCCATTTGTGCCTTGCCCTCTCAACAGGTTTCTGTGGAAAGCTACACTGATAGCTCACCACATGGCATACCCCATAATTCCCAAACTGAGGCTCTGGAAAGAAACTTGGATGTATCATGAAGCTAGGGCTTTAATTTTTGGTGCTGCTTTTCTAGACTACAAGGGCCTGGCTTGTTTTGGTCAACAGATAATACACAGCATGATAAGAAATCATTTCCAACTACAATGCAATAGTTACTTCTCCAGCTTTCAAAATCCCCTCTCCTCCAATTTTCACCAGTCCTCTGCCCCAGAAGCAGTTGTACTTTTGTACACAGGGGGAGTATGCAGACATATAATGTAAGAGTCTGACACTCATTTTGACACTAGAAGGTCTTTCTTAAAATTAACACTGCAAAATGTCCCCCAAACAAGGATAAAAGGGTGGCAGAGATGCAATATATGGATTGTACATGCATTATCCACCAACATGTTTATGCTAGAACATATTTAAGGAAACAAGAGAACAGAATACTGAGATCAGCTGCTCAGGTAGTGACTTCACAAGCAGGCTGCAGCCCTAACTTAAGATCAGCAGGATAGGATCCTTTTCCTAGGAGATGAACAGAGATTAATCTGAATGCTTCCTCAGCATCTATCTAAACTGGTTTTGTGTGAATTCAATTTGTTTCCTGACATTCACACATACAAACCAAACGATATTCCTTGCAGCCTATTTGATTATTTGTCCTCAGACAAATCAAGACATTGTCCATCCTTTCATTTGGAGTTGGGCAGACAGAAGTTCAAGGTCCTAGGGGATTAAAGGCAGCATGGACCAGGGCACTCCAGCCAACTATAAGCAGGAAAGTCTCAAGCTTTGTGTGAACTGTCAAAGAAAAGAAACAAAGAGGCCGTCAAAATCTGCTAGGAACATCCCTGCATTCCCAGCACAGTCCCTCTGCTGCACTGATCAAAGGCAGAACAGTCCCATAATAATCCTGATACTGTCCATAGCTCAGTCTTTCCTAAATCTATCCTGCAGCAAGTGGGGTGACATCACATCAGGAATACGGGACATGCTCTACTCCAGCAGACAGGCTGGGTGCTGGGAGGGGCTGAGCAAGAGATGAACTGCATGATTCCAACTCTGTCAGGCAAAGGATGGGCTACCTTACCCCTGCCCTGGCAGGTTAAACAAGGAAAGACACAGGGCACATGGAATTTTTCAGGCTTTATTTCTAGGCTGAAAGTCCAGGTACCTCCTGTATTGAACAGGCACTGCCTTCAAACCCTGGCAAACCAACAAACCATAATGTGGAGCAGAGTCAGAGCATTCCTGGACACTGGATGTCACAAGGGTAAAAGCTGAGCTTGGTTGGTCACAATCCAAGGCCATGGATCATGGAAATGCAGCACTCCCAACACACTCCTCAGTTTGGGTCACCAAGCACTTCTCCACCGAGCCTCCCTCATGAAGAGCCAAAACTTCCTAGGCAGGAAGGCTACAAGGCATCAGCTGCATTGGCATTTCAGGATTGTGCTTCCCCTTGGGAAGGCACAAACAGTTCCTTCCTTTTAGTTATTTCCCTAGCAGGTAACATCTCTTGCAAATTACTATCTCAACCTCCAGGGAGAAATCACTGTCCTGTGCTAGAACTGGATATCAATAAAGAGTCAAGAGATGTGTTGGGGGTTGTGCTCCTCCTTCTTAAGCTGAAGAGGGAAAACAACATTTAATTATTAATTATTTAATAATTAATTTAATTATTAATTATTTCTTTTAAACCTAAGCAAGATTAATTACGGTGGAAGTTCCTCAGTTCAGTCTCGAGAACTGAGTTGTGTGGCTGCAACTTCCTAGGGTTATATGTCTTCTTTGGGTGTAGCTCGGGCCTCCTGCCCATATGACCCATGCCCTGAGCCTCAGGCTGTCCTCAGGCATGAAAGGACAAAATAAAGCACCTTCAGAGATTTATTCCCTCCCTTAAGAAATCTGAAAAGACAGGAGGCTGTCTGAGTGCCCCATTCCCCCACCCAATGTTCAAGAGGCCCTGGATCTGGACCACACCGAGCAAGGCTCAGAACACAAAACCCAAATACTTTTCTCAAGTTTTTGCTCTCCAAGACAAAACAAACAAAAAAAACACACAGAAAAGAGGCTGAACATCTCAATGCCAAGGTTACAGATACAGGCATGTGGTAAAACAGGCAAGTCCCAGCAGACACTGATGACACTGGCTCAGGGTCCCAGCACCGTCACGCTCAAGCACTTACAGTGTCACTGGAAGGGTTGGGGAGGTGACAGGAACTCTCTCCTTCAGTGAGATATGAGTTAGTGCTATACCAACACCAAGAAAAACAGAACTCTGCAGATAACAGACCATGTGGCTTTGGCCATCTTGCCACCTGCATTTAACAGTTTGAAGTACTCTTATTGGCACCTGCTGGTCACTCGGGAGAACAAACAAACCACTTTAGTTTCAATTGCAGGGCTGACAGATCAAGCATGACCTGTAAAACTCATCAAGAACAAAGCAAACTTAAATGCTTAAAAGCTGTTCATGAGCTTGAAAGCTGAGAAATAACTGGATTTTAATAACTTCAGATTTGAAGATAAGTGCCATTCCCTCAGATAATTTGGAAGCAAAAGAGCACAGATTTACAAAACAAAGCAGCATTCACAATTCTAAGAGCTAAGCATCACAAACTGCCATATTCTGCTGAGGTCTTTGATTTACAATAAGCCAAAATATCTGTTCCTCACTGTAAGAAAGGCCTTAAGTAAGCTTAGATAAAACCCCCAAATAAGTTTTCTTCTTTATTAAAGTAATAACCATTTTATATTAAAAAGCATCTGCAGTCAGGAAAGTGAGAATTCTCAGAGCACTTCTTGACTCCTAACACTTGAAAAACACCACACAACTTTATACAGAAAGTGAAGAAATTGAGGTTAGAAGTTTACTAGTACAAATCCAGAAGTGCTTAAAGAGAAACTAGCTTCCAGAATCAGGATTTGTTCAGTGTACTTTTCTCTGAATGTTCCCTTTTATGTTAGATCTCAGTGCTCAAACTGTTGATTTCATGTTACCAGGAACGTATCTCCAGGACTCAGATCCAATAGTGATGCAGTTTTCAGCTAAAAAGTGCTATGCTAATTCTTCTACATATAAAAAGGAAAGGAAAAAGTGTTTTTAAGTTGAACCAAGATTTGTTTATTACTTTGTCCTCAATCAGATTCACACTGAAGGGGCTGCAGGGTGGGAAAGAGCTGTTGAAGTTGATCGAGTTAATTTACTCAACCTAAGAATTTACAAATTAGAGACAAATTCTGAGCCCTCTTTATGTGATGTCACCCCATTTTCTACCCACTTTCCTTCCCTGTTCAGTAATCCAAACACTTTAAATCTGCAAGAAAAATGGGAAAAGGAAAGAGAGTAAAACCAAGAGCCAGTTAAAATCCAGTTCTGTAAAAGAAGAGGTCCTAATCATCTAGGGTCCTAGGTGATGTTTTGTCTTCTTTGATTATCATTTTTCCCTGTACTTCTCTGCAGAAATCAAGTATAGTCTCCCCACAGACAGGAGCTACTTTTATTTTCCAGCCAAGCAGAGAAGAGAAAGGTCAAGTAATCTGATGGCAACAGAGACCCAGGGCAGACTGTTCCCTCCAAGAAGTCCATGCCCAGTCCATTACTGACCAGGGGGGCTGGAATTCCTGCATGCAGCTTCCCTGCTTCCAATCACACAGCACCACAGACCACAATGGGAAAAACAACTGATGCAACCCACGAGTTCTGCATCGTCCAAAATATTACTCATCTCTGCCCTGGCACCAAATCATTCACTCTTCAACCGAGAATTCCATGACCTGCTTTTCTCCAGGTAATGAGTTCCTTCACCTCCACTTTTCCAGACCCCTTCTTGGTGAAGCTGTTCCCTAACAAGCTTTACCCCAAGCCTCATAATGGCTGTTACTGGAAGAAACCCTCAGTAGTTAAGTCTGTGGTTTCTACTTCCAGCTACAAATTAATGTGCACAGGCACAAAGGCACACAATGACAAAGCACGTTCCTGCCCATTAACAGTGGCTGGAAAATACCAGCATTTCTTGCCAAAGACTTTCTGCTGCACTGCTTTTCATTCATTTCCGTGATTAAGCTTTCTTTCCTTTAAGAAACTTTCTATTCGCCCTTCTTGAAATTGAGTATCTCTCGGGGTCATTGGAGGGCATCATTTCATTTTAATTGCAAGTTCAACATCAATACTCAGCTCATATTTCAGCAGCTCTTGGTTTATCTCAGCTTCTTCCAAAGTGAATGATAATACATTGCTGTGCAATGAGCTCACATGCAGATGTAATCCAGAGTTGAAGATTTCATTGAGATATTTCCCTTACAAGTTCTCTTTTATTTTTGCCTCTCCAGAACTTTCTACCCTCTGCTGAGTGGCACAGAGCAGAAACAGCTCAGAGCACAGCCAAGCTCCAAATGGTTCCTTTTCATAACACACTCATCAACATGAGATTAAAAGCTTCCTTCTCCCTGCTTCCTTCAAGAGAAAGGAAAGTAAGTCAGTTCTGTGGAAATCCCTGAGAGTGTGTAGCAGGCAAAGACATTCTGAACACTAACCTGGGTTGCCCTGCTCATGGTGAAAGGGTTTGAAAATTAAAGGACAAATGCCAAAACAGAGTTTATGAAGCTGGCTTCATACACTGGAATGACAAGAACAGCAAGGGACAGAAGACAGGTGTGTTCCAGGCTGAAAGAAAGGCTCTGTACACATGCATCAACCAATAGCTCAGGAGGAGAGAGGATGCACTGGAGTAGAAACAGTGCAATGAAATTAAGAGAACATTTCAAGACAGACACTGGCAGCTGCTCTTGTTCCTCACATCACTGAACAACCTTTTAAAAAAGACATGGCAGAACCTCTCTGTCCTACACTGTGAAGACAAACAAAAAAGCACTGAGGAATATTAAATTCTTCATATGGGACAGCTTCCCCTGCCCTCCAGATAAGTTTATTTTGCTTACAGCAGCTGGACGAAAGGCATTCGTTCCAAGAAAGTGGTCTAGTGATCCATGTTATTCATGAGGTCATACCAGAAGATTCACAAGATCCTCTCTGGTCTTAAAATATATCCAGCAAAGAACAATTGACCAAATATTTGAAAACTAATGGCCTAGAAGGCTCCTCCTCACCACACTCCCGTACCCTTGCTTCCAGTTCTTATAGTCCAGTGGACAAAATTTGTTTTTTAGTTCTGGATGTTTCAAACAAACACCTTTATATTAACATTTCAGATCATTAACCAAATGGAATAAATACGTCCCTTTGCAACAGCAAGTGGAGAGGAGAACTCTGCTTGCAGCCAGCAAGTTCTGCCTTGGATGGAAAGAATCTGAGCAAGACATTTTCCACAGATGTTCATGGAAAAACATTTCAGAGCACTGCCACATTTCAAACCTATTGTGGCAGGAAACACAGAAGTTTCACGTGTGCAGTCCCCAGCTCATATATGAAAAGCTCACAGGCCCCTGCCACTCAGGGAGATCACATTGCACAATGTGTATGCATGCTTAAAAAGCCCCCTCTTTGAAACATCACTCAGCTCAGAGAGATCTGTGAGAGAGTCAAATCGGAGAGGAGGATTTCCAGTCCCAGCAAGCCTCACCATCCCCCATCAAAGGGGAATCAATAAAAACAACTGAGAAAGAAATTCCTCCTAGGACTAAAAGCTTCATGTAAAATCCTTTAAGGGCTTCCTTTTGCTGAAAATGCTGCTTCCTTATTGATCCCTTCCCCACTCCAACAGCCATGATGGAAGCTGAAAATGCTGCCCAAGCCCAAGATTTCAAAGCATGGAGGAGACTGGATAACATTCTATTTTTCAAAATTACACTGTATTATATTCCCTCCAGCAGTTATAGGCAAGTTGTATTTCTGTTACACTTTGAAAAAATCAGTGCAATTGACCCCTTAACAGTTTTCCTATCCAGGACAAACGTAAGATCATCGTAAGATAACACACCCCACCCTCCCTACAACTCAGGATTCAGCACACTGGTGCTCCACAGCTTTTTTTTTTTCCCCCAGTTGCCTGGAAAGCTGCATGCCCCTCTTTTTTCCTCCACCTTTCCTGTTAGTATCTTCCCTCCAATTTTGGGGAAATTCTCCCTGCAAACATGGAGGGATATTTCACCATGCCCATTAGGGAAATTCTGCCTTTCACCAGGCCCATTAGGGAAATTGTGGCACCAACTGATTTTTTCTGAAGAACAAGTTTGACAGCTGTTTGTGCTACAGGATGCAAGAGAAGGGTGTGATATCTGAGCTCTGCTTTCATAGCAGCTCCACAACTTTACATTTACCTCTGGCTCCCTGACTCAGTCTGCATCAAAGACAGGAGGCTTCAGCAAACAAAACCAAAGTAACACACCCACAAAACATCTTCTGTCTTGTATAATTAATTCCAGATGATTCCCCAAATAGTAATTCCACAGTTGGTTCATTCTAGCTGTGCTCATGGCATGTTCTCATCGTGCCCAGAGGTGAATATCCAGCAGGGATATCTGAGTAACAACTGAAGGACACAAAGTTCATCTATCAATTAAAGAAAATTGCAGGTATTTCAAGACAGATTTTGCTACGTGCCAAGATTATTTTGGGAAATAGCACTCCAGCAAATTGTGCCTGGGATCTCATTTCTTTCTTCATTCTTTTGTAAAGAATGAAAGGCTGACAGGGCTTTAGGACCACCCCTCCCCCTGCTCCAGCCCTGCTACTGGAATTCACACATTCCCAGGGCACTTCTACACGCTGCCTCCCTTTCTTCACTCCACGCTCCAGAAATCCTATCTGGGTGAAGGGGCTGGGAGGAGAGGCTGACAGCAAAATAAGTCAAGACTACAACACGCACACTTCCCTCCCTCACATTGCTCGCAGGTTTCCCTCTGAACATTGGGTATCAAAGCATCCCAGCAATGGATGGGAGTTCCAAGTGACACAAACAATGTTGGGAGAGGCACCATCCACCACTTTTGTGCAGGAAGGCCTCCACATAGGAACTTGGAGGGGAAGGCTGGGGCTTGGGGCTTATTTCATTTTTGCTGGTTTCTTTTATCACCCCCTTTGGAAATACTACTCTCCCGCTGTGTCTGACCCAGATAGAAAGAGCAATAAGGCTAAAACTGCAGTCCACTAAACCATCTTGAGAAATTACCTAAAACTGAAAGAAGCTGAGTCAATGTCCTCTGTCTAGCCAGCTTAGATCAAAGCTGCATCTCAAAGCTTCCTATAAAATGACATCCTCGTTGCCAGGCTGTCCTACTGTGATCTGCCCTTGTCCTTTCCCCGGTGTGCTATATAAGCAAGTTCAGATCCTAGGAACCACATCATCTAGAACAATTACCTTAGCTGTGGATCCAACCAGAAGTCAGGCTGCTCTTGCCTAGACACAGACACATCTCCTAAATATGCTACAGCCTGTTACTACCAGCAGAATATGAGCACGAAAGCCCCATCAGCTCAAAGCCCCACCAGCTTGGTTTATCAAATCAAGAGAGGAGCCCTTTACTCACATATGCACCAGTGTTACGAAAACAGCTCCCACTGCACTTCCCAATAATATAACGTGACAGAAGTCAGGGTTAACATGCATCTCTGATGATCCAAATCAATTCTATCTGTCTCTCCCTCCCCCCAGCATTATATCAGGACCAGAATATTTCCATAGAAAAGTCTCAACAGGCAGGCTTTGTTACAGCTGAAGGTAAAGGTTTCAGCAAGCAATTGAGGAACAGGATGTCCTTCTGGGTACTGAAATTCATCCCAATTTGTGGAGCTTTGTAGTTCAGCCACGAGGGACCTCTAAGGTCTTGCAGTGGCAGGATACACTGACTGAGATGGCTGAAATGTTACCCTGACCTGACCATTTTCTGCAATTACATCAACAGCGAGGTGTGCTCAGGGAATTTAATGCTATGCTAATAGAGTCTGTTTTGGAACAGAAATCCAGTTTATATTAATGTTCTTCCAGAGCAGCCACTACTAACAATCTAGTGATACAGCTGGCAAATGCGGCATCAGTTGCTCCATACTGAGAACCAGCTCTGAGCCTGCAGGACCATAAAAGCTGCATTAGTAGAGAAAAACCCAGGGGTTATGATTACAGCCAATTCATTAAACATCTTTCTGTAAACAATCAATAGCACAAAGGACACAAGTACCACCAAAGAAGACAAGCACAGCCCTCAGCCATCGCACCATTTGTTCCAAAGAGTATGTATTTCTGAGACACGGGGAAATCAATGGGAAAGCATCACGGAATTCTCTCCCTTTCTGGCTTAGACACACGGCTGCCAGGCTCTGTACCAACCTGATGTCTGGAAGTCTATCTGGATAGGGTTGGATAAGCCATTCACTGCTTCACGCCACATGCCGCCACCGCCTGGAGACCAGGCGGTCACCACGCAGCGGTACAGCCCAGCGTCAGAGATCTGGGTCTGGTACATCCTGTAGCGGAACTCGTTCTCCTGGACCTTCTCCAGCACCACCCCATCCACACGGGTCTGGTCCGTCCAGTCTTCCAGCCGCACTACCGAGTCCTGGTTCAAGGAGATAATGCGCGTGGTTCCGTTGGGGCTCGACTGATCCGTGAGGGGCTTCTCGGCTGTGATGAGGACGGAATAGCGCGGGGTCTTGATGTTTTTGGAAGACACTTTGCATGTCATCTCAAAGGTGTGGCCTGCTACAAAGAATGGCTTCAGTTTCACCGCCTCCACTGTAAGCGTGTAATCTGAAGAGGGAAGGAAATAAGCAGCAAGAGAGAGTTAGCAAATAACTACAGGTGTTTCTGCAGCACCATTCAACCTCCAAGATTTTACAGACAGGCAAAGTTCCTTTTTTGGTGGAACAAATCCCAGCACATTTATCTAAACATGTGGACAGCCCAGAATGCTACTCAACAGTGCACACACACCCACAAGTACACAACAGTTTGGGTCAAGATGCACAAATTCAAACACCAAATACTGAACAGATAATAGAATACAGAGGTTGTAACAAGACAGGATTGTTTTATTCACGAGTAAAGATATTAGACAAAATTCAGAGTCCCAGTTTTATACTGGACCTGGAAGAGCAGCCTCAGTGATGGGGCAATACAGGCACTGCTGAAATACTCATGACTAATGACAAAAGCTGCCACTCACTGAACTGGCAGCACTTAGTGTAGCATCTTTTATTTTCCATGAAAATACACTCCTAACAGCAACCCAGACACATTCAGCTGAAAACACATGACACAAGTTTGTGGTAACAGAAGTCTACACCCCAGGCATCCCAATATACACACACACACACCACCCTGTGCTGAAATGTTTAGGCACACCTCTGCCTCCGTGTCAGTCTTTCCTCCCCTTGCTTCTCATACATTTACTGTCATACAAGCCTACCAGAAGCCTTGACATTTCCCATTTGACACCAAGAATTCCAGCAACACTTACTGCTTAGTTTCCTTCCTTTCTCTACTGGCTCCTCAATCCCAAGAATCCCTTAATTACTGGGTTTGGGAAAATTATACATCTCAGAGCACAGCTCCAAGATACACAAAATAGAAGCTCACAGTGCGAAATTGAGAAAATGAGGAGTGACTGAAATCAGAATCAGATAAAAGGAAAGGGATTTGCTAGTTTCCTGGCATTGTGATGAAGAGACACCCTGTACATCAAGGTTGCTCTTAAGGAAGGGAGGGCTGGGGCAGAATACATAGAAGTAACAGTATTGCAAAAATACAGCTAAACCAGCTCTCTGGACTTACTTTGCTGCACCACAGTCTCCCTTCCCTCCTTTATAAAAGGAAAAAAAAAAAGTGTAGATCTGTTAAAAAACTCCACAGAACCTCTTTATGCAAGATGAAACTTCTCAAGAAAAGGAAAATAAGTAATGGTGAGATTGAAACACATTTCCCAAAATTGAACTTAAATGCAGTAATATTTATGTCCTCCCCACAAGAGCAACAAGATACTTGTCAAGATTACATTTTGCAGTGTTTTGCCTTCAAGCAGCAGTTTTCACAATGAGTAAACACAGCTCACAAGATGAGAAACCCGCTATGACAACTTTAAATCAGTACTGTATAAAGCAGATCACAGTACAAAGCTATATAAAGAAACAGCGGGAGCAGTGAAGGCTGAGATGCTTCTAGTGGTCTAGCTGAGCACAGAATTATTTGATACTCCACACCAAACCCCCTCACACCTCCAACCACTAAGCAAGTGACAATACAAGAGCTGCACATTTAGGCACTCAGGGTACAATCACAAATGAGGATTGTATAGAGTCATTCTCCTCTCCCTTGTGAAAAAACTCATCAGATACCAGATTCCAGACTTCAAAACCATTTTTTTCCTCATTCTGTGTCTATGACACTGATATTTCCTTCTTCATATGGCTGCGGTATTTAGGAGTCCAGCACAGATCAGCTTTTCACATATTTTTAGGAATATAGTAGGCAATTATATTTTGTCCCAAAAGCAGAAGCACAAACAGCTAGTTATACTTTTCTGGCACATATTGTTGTTTTCTAGGCCATATGAGGAGGCTCTGGGCAAAAAGCCCTCCTTATTTAATGTTCTTTACATTGTTGATCTTCCCATCAGAACACTGGGTCCTAGACACCAGAAGAGAAATTTTACATTTGGTCTCTGATATATGTGCTGAAGATTAAATACCCTCACATGTTCAGAGCAGTTCAGCTACAGCTGAGAAAACTCTCCCTACGACCTGGGCTTCAAATACCTTAACTTCCACTGCTCCCTGAGCCACAGGTCAGGCAGCAGCAGGAAGGGCAGTGTCCTGTCCCCAACAAGTACAGAGCAAATTTTGTTCCTAGACATCTTTTATTAGTTTTCCATTTGAGGGCAATAGCAGATATTTTTACTAAGTATTTCTGCTAAAGGAAAAGGAGAAAGGAGTGGTGGTAGCATGGGACAACAGCAGAAATGCCCTTGGTAGAGTTTGTGGAAGAGAACAATTGAGGCCCAGAGATGCAGCTGGAGAACAGTGAGAGAGTTCAAAAGGGTTAGAAATTAGGATGCTGAACAGAGAACAAGGAGATGTGTTCTTATGAAAGTCCTTTCAAAGCATTTTTCTACCTTTAAAACCCCTGAGATCCTTAATTTAAATGAACATGCAAGGCAGAGGCACCCCCTCTTCTGTTAGACTGTAAGAAATCTAGAACAGAATAGAGAAAGGGACACACAACCCATCACATACAGGTGCTGAATGTTTCTTTTTGCAACAAAGTCAAAAAAAGATCAAAGGGATGTTTCTGTATGTGCCATAATATTAGAGACCTGCATATGTAGCAAAGTAAAACAACAACAAAAAGGCCCATATCCTATCAACTAGAAAAACCTGGGTCACCATTCTTAATATTCTGGTTCAGTGCCAATATTGTTCTCCTTCAGTAGCAGCAGATGAAATGTAATTAGCACTCCTTCACCCCCACCTAGAAAAGCATGTAGCTAGCTGTCTGTGTGTGTAAGAGTGCACATTATGAGAAAGGGAGCAGCCCTAAGATTTGGCACTTATCTTAGAAAAAACAGTAATCTGCACAGAAACTTAAGAAGGAAAGTCTCTTCATGTTTCCCATGTTAGCAGAAATTACTCATCAGATCTCGCAGCATAAGATGAGCTGGAGAGGTCAAATTAATGTTTTCTTCCAAGAACTGCAGCCTAAGGTCTCATTTCTAATCTTCTGGGAATTGCCAAGGAAGAAGTGTGTGTCTTAACCACTACCCCAGACACTTGCCTGTCTGAATTCATGCCTGCAGTCCCATGTGGAGTCTCATCTCCTTCTCGTAAAGCTCCATGAATGAAAAGCACAATAAAACACACCCTGCTTGGTTATATACTGGAGGCTGCAATCTGCAGTTTATTCTGGAAAGCAGTAGGGAAAGAGCTCCTAAGTAAATCATACCCAAAGCTGGGGCACTACTCCAAGACAGAGGGCTAGCAACAGAAGAAACCCTAGCCAAATGACTCAAATAAAATTTGAGTAAACTGTACTTTGGAGCCTGGCAGTGCAAGCTTCTGCCTTCCATCACTGGCCAGTCCAAGTGGTTAAGCCACACTGTAATTCTCCTGCTGCTCTTCTACCACAAAGTGCGTGCTCAGCTTCAAGAGCACTTCCTGGGTAGTGACCAAAACCAGTTTTCACCTCATCAATGCCAGACAAATTTCTAGAAAACCCAAACAGCTACAAGGGCAAGGAGACTTTAGAAAACAGCAAACACCTTCCCTGCACTGCTCTGACACCAGCTGGAAAAGCAGCACAACAGCCAGGGCTGACAGCAACCTCGGGGCCTCACAGCACTACTTGAGGCTGCTGACAAGAATCTCAGTGTTCATAGGATGCCTTGAGAAGACTGACCTAGAACAGAGGCTAGACAGAGTTAAAAATAAAGTAGGTATTTATTGAAAAACCTTAAAGGATACACCTTGGGCAGTACAAGAGCCTGGCCAGGGCTACACCCCAGATGGACCCAAAATGGTCACAAAATGGACGACTGCTCCTGAGGCCTCACATTTTTATAAGTTTTGGTCCATCTGCATATCAGAGTTAATTGTCCAACCACTGTTTCAGGTTATGAAGTCTCACCCTTCTTGTTTTTTCTCTTCAGTCCACCATTGTTTCTGCTTTTGGGCCTGAAATTTGGAACAATTGTCCTTGGTATCAAGCTAGAAATGGAATTGTTTTGTCTACCTGCTCTGTGAAGAGAGCTCACTAACACTTCATCTGAAGCTCAAAACTACTCACATAGGGAAAAATACGAAAGCCAAAACTTAAGGCACCACATAAAAGCCCCTTCATCCCCCGGTGCACTACCAAGGCAGCAAGTACAGCGAATGCAGCAGACACTGAGGCAGAGACAGCTTTGCTGTGGCAGGAGAAGGTGGCTGTACAACATCCTGAGGTACAAGTGCAGCCCCAGCAGCTCTGGAAGCACAACAGGCACACCAAAGCCTACACCCCAACACATGAACTACACATAAACACACACCTGACCTCAGGATCTCTTGTCCCTACAGCCAAACTGGACATACACACACCAGCTTAGTGCCATGGGGATTTCTTTGCCAAGGAGGAACTGTGTGTCTGTACTTCACCCCTGTCTGTGATGTATCAGCAATGATAAAGAAAAGTAAGTGTTAGACATATTATCTGTTCTCTACTGCAGGACTGTCTGAAACATTAAGACACCCTTGCTCCCAATTAAGTGTGATGGGAGGGCCTGGGCAAACATTTAGGACAAGTAACATTATGTTAAATATAATTATTTTGTAAATTAAAGACAGAAGTATTAACAAAACCACAAATAATGGTACCTTTGGGATTTGGAATTTCAATTAAAAGATAATGTACTCTTCTGCTAAGTACTCCATGCAGATCCAAAGCTGACAACACTGGTTTAGGAAAAAAACATTGATTCCACGTTGCACTGCAAACAGTATCTGTGTTCTAAATGTAACTCTCATTCAAATAAATAAATAAAGTTATCTTTTAAAATAGCAGACTTTTTTTTTCTGGGTCGAAAGTCATTTACAGAGCTAGTCAAAAAAGGTTCCCTCCCTTCCTTTTTAACTGACTGGAATTTGCACTCTAAATAAGCAAAACATAATACAACTGATGTTTTTAATTTCTGAGATGAGACAGATATGCCTTCTTTGTCACCTTGGCAGGGGAGAAAGTAGAAGAGGGGAAGAAACATGTCAGGCAGACTATGTCAAAAACAACGGTGATCTATGATAGCAATTGGCTGCATTTGCAAAGCTGAGTAAGCAGAAAGATGTGTGAGCATTATTGGTCCCTGTAGAATAAAACAGAAAACAGAGACAATAAAACCCCAAGTTCAAATGGGCAAACACACAACTTATTACACAATGCACAAAAAAGGGGTTTTGACATCTTTATATGAAGTTTACATTTTGAATAAAGGCTCTGAACACCCCTCTTTGCTGAGAGACCCACAGACAAAATATAAATCCATTTCTCCTTTCTCAAGAACTCAGAACAATTGTTTTCAAAGTGAGATTTCTCCAACGTCCTCCCTCCAAAGCACTGCTCCAGTGTCAACAAAGAAGATGCAAGCAATGAAATAGATGGAAGAAAAGTCTCTCTATAGGCATAAGCTATCTATGGAAGAGGCAAATTTCTGTTCTCTCCTTAGGCAAACACGTGGGAGCCTGGCTGCTGGCTTTTATAAAGCACTGGGAGCAGTTAGGGACTCAAATCACCAGAGATACTTGTCAAAACAACAGTCAGAGAGCACAGGCAGCAGCAGATTAACTCCTTCATAGTTGCTGGCTCCAGCTCTGGGCTCTCAGCTGAGTCTGGAGTTCACAGGAACAGGATATGGCAGGGGACAGGGCACATGGGGAGAAGCATCTGGGGCTGTGCTGCTGAAGGAGGAGTTGATGGGTTGAAGAGAAGGGGAAATCAAACCTGTATTTCATCCTCCCCACCCCATATACACATAACATTCATTTTCAGGAGGGGCAGGTTTTTGTAGGAGAGCTCACTTTCACGTAATAAGTCCCCCAACCCCAACTTTTGCCAACAGAACGTACTCCTCAGCACGGGGACTATAACATTTACATTTGTGCTGCAAAATTAGCAGAGTTTCTGGAACAAAACCAGAAACAAGGGAATGTTCACACCTGTCACGGTTTGTTTTCCCTCGGAAATGTCAACACAGGCTGAGACTTTTCAACTCCAGCTGGTCTCTCTAGCTGCTCCAAAGGCGACGATCCATTACACTGACATGCACATACACACACTCCGTGTTGTGGCATAACACTGAACTAATTGTGACCAACACTCAGCATTAATGAGACTTCTCAGTCCTGCTGGAAAAGCCGGCTTCAGGGGTAAAAAAAAAACCAAAAAAAAAAGACCTTTTCCCTGGACCACAGGCTTGGTCTGGAGATGCAGGGAGTACTGAGCAAGCAGCCCACCACTTACCACTTCTCTCTCCACTGAAGCAGAATCACAGCAGATGATTTCCAATTTGCTGTTCAGGGATTATCCCTAAACAATTTCAAAATTATTTCAAATTGCTTGTCTCTGAAATATAGTTCTCTGCCTGTGGATGCCTAAGCTAGACTGTTAAACTATCTATCAAGATAAATGCAGCTTAGCTAAGCACAGATTTTTGAAAAAGACATTACATCCTAGGTTATCCTAACCTTTCTGATGCTCTCCAACAGACCCCTCTTGCATGATTCACTCTGAGCCAAAACAGTATCACTCTATAGCACATCCAAGAAACACGGATTCCATTTTAAACCACAGTTAAGCAACTTCAGGTAACTATTAAGCTTCTAAAAATGTTCCCAGAAAAAGTTAAATACTGACTAGAGCTAGTCACTTCTGCCTAAAAAAGGTCAAGATCCAGGCAAACCACTGAATTACTTTGTTCAGCTACCCACTTAATTTTTGATACCCTGGTTGTACTGTGCCCATGAACTTTCTCAGAACTGCCTTTTAAACATGGGCTTAGAGAAGAGAAAAATAAAACCACGTCTCTCAAACTCTCAGACGGAGAAGACAAATTGACATTCCTCTTTTCACCTCAGTAAAACCCTGTTGATAGCAGCAAGATGCATCCCAAAGAGACCAAAATACTCTGAGCCACGAAAGTGGGCAATGACCACAGCAACGCTGCTGGATTCCACCCCTGCCACTTCCAGCCCAGCTCCTGGAAGTCTCAGCAGCTTGATGGAAAATCTCTCCTTTGATGGTGTCTCTTCCTTTGCACTTCCACTCCAAACTGTTGCATAAAACAGGTAAAGTAGTGATGTAGTTATTCTCCTCCACAGATAAGAGGCCTTTACACAGGCTGACAGTGCTTTTAAACCTTCATAAACAGAGAACCCCATTTCCAAAGCCCATCAGCAGGCCTTCTGGCTGACAAGCCTGTTCTCAACCACCCAGCTGTAAAGGTCCTACCTTGTGTAGCCCAGAAAATGTTGACAGATGCAGAAGTCACTTCTTTGCTCTTCACCCAGCTGTTGTTGCGGTGCCTACTCCACGCTGAGATGACACAGAAATAATCCCCTCTGTCACTCTCTGAAGTCCACTGGATCCTCAGACTGAAGGTGTCAGCAGACTTTTTAGAGAAGATTATTTCCCCATTCTGAATCCGCTCTCTGCCCCTGTCCCCAAGCAGCAGGGTCCAGTCTGCATCCATGGAAGCCAGGAGCTCCTCTGCCACCACATCGTCACCGGGCAGGTGCTGCCTGTAGTACCAGGAAACGGTGAAGCGGATGTTCGCTTCGGTGTCCTGTACGTTTGTGATCCTGCAGTCGAGCTCTGTGGGGTCATCTGAAAACTTGGGTGTTTTAGAGGCATTCAGGAACACATCATAGTCTGGTTCTGCAGGAGAAGGAACACAGAAGAAACAGGTTAGAAGCTACAAGACAGGAGAAAACACCAGAATTAATGAAATCATACACTAACTTGTAACACCCAGCTTTAGCGTCTGAGCTAAGAAGCCAAGTGCCACCGTATGCATTTTTCTTACAAGACCTTGGAACTTGGACTCTTGTTCTCAGACTTGCACCAGTCTGACACAGGTACCCCTAGGTCTGCATTTCCAAACTGGACGTTCCATTTCATAGGTCTAGTAAGACCATTTCAGAAAAATCAGGACTAATAGATCTTGTTGAGCAAAATAATTCCTTCCTTAAGGTCTGCTCCCAAGAACCCACCTGTAGGCTCAGTTTCAACCCAGATAGCCACTTTTTCCACCTGTCAAATGCCTGGGGCAGCCTGCAGCAGGACACTGGTTATCCTCTAGCTTTGGACTGACCAGAGACACCCCATTTCCCCAATATCTCTCCAGGATAAGAGACCATCTTCCATCTTGAAATGCCTCAATTTCCACACTTAACCACCCCATTAACTGGGATGTCTACAACAGTTTGAGAATGGTAAAAAGCAGCCCTTTAAAAGGCAAACACTTCACCCACTCAGACACACAAACCAGGGGACACAGAACACCACTGGCACTGGCCACAGGCAGCATTGAGAGCTGAGCACAGTAAGTTTCAGTGGTCAGCAGTTTAAATGCTTCCTAGGTCAATAAATACTAAGTAGGATAAGAGTTGAAGATGTGTAGATCAGAAAAAGCTTCACAGTCTGAATAGTGAAGTATGTGCTGTACAGCTGTGAGGCTGGAATATCTCACGGTGGAAAATCAGTGTCTGAGTTTTACGGGTTAAGAATGGGGCTGCTGTATTTAAATCTGAAATAGCTGGCTGCCCAAAGCCTAAAAGCGATAAGGGAGCCGCATGACTATTTTCTCTCAGACTACAGAGATAGTAAAGGAAAAAGATTACAGCAAGAACTTCACACCACAAACAAAATACATATTTATTTACTAGTATTAGAGTATTTTTGTCTTGTTGTCTACTATAATTCAGAAAAATGACCTGCTTCCCAACTGTTTGGCCAATACTCATCACACAGCTTTTACAGCCTAACTGTATTCAGCACTCTGTATTTATTTCCTGCTTTATGTTTTACTTGGCATTTTGCCCTCCTAGAAACAATTAACTGAAGCTATAATTGGGACAAAGAAGGCAATCCAAGGCTAAAACTTAGGCTTAGCTCACCAATGAGCCAAGATAATAAAGCATCTTAATAGAACTGCTGTGGAAACTCTGTGTGCATATGCACTTTTGGACTTGAGATGCAAAGGATAAAAACAATTGTAGCAAACAAGCTGGGCTGCTTCTTTGTCAGCCTGCAGAAAAGATCTCTCACCAGTGTCCTTGCATCTAGCAAGAACAAGGGCATCAATACACACCAGACCCCAGATAATCTGGTAATACAGACAGTGAGTTTCTGTGACATTAGGCAACATAAAATCATAAAAGCACTGCTTACAAAGTCTGTGGTACCTACTACCAGTAAGCATGTGGAGATTTCTGCACATTTTCAGGATAAGTAAGGCAAAATAAAAAGAAAATGCACAGAATTTTGCTACAACCAAAGCACAGATTAGTAATGATGGCCAAACCCCACTTTTGGTGTAAGATCCTACAGCTACACTGCTCTTCCTTTCTCTTTCACAAAAGACAAATTTACACCAGGGCCTCATGATGTATTGCTCGCACTCTACAACTCTCTTATCATTCTCACTTTGCCTCCCCTCCCACTCAGAAAGAAGGCATTCAAGACCAACTAATATCTTCACAGCAACAAAGACTATGAAAGCAGATGCACTTCTCTAGACAGGGACACAAGAAGGAAAAAGCCGCAAGAATCCCAAGTTCTTAGAAAACTGCTCGAGGTTTGTTTTATTTGTGGGCAGAGGAAGGACCCTAAGAAGAGAGTTTTCTCTTTGATAGCACCACTCCAGACAGGCACTTCACCCTGACAGACACTCAAACAGAGGATTTAGAAAGAATAAAAGGCTGGCTGGATAAACCTCATTCCTCCACTCTGTCAGCTGTCAAAGAACAGCCTCACTGACAATTCAACGACTTAATACTCCAGGAGCTCTTAACTTCCATTAAGGAGGAGTTGGTGAAATCTGGATGCAATTGAAAACCTCAAACACTGAAAATTTATTCTGCTTTCCCTCTCCCTAGCAACCAAGCATCTGCATCTGCTGGAGAGCAGATTTTATTTTCTCCTGTTCCCAAATAATGCTAAATTAGAAAGGAAAGAGTAAAGAGTAGGTACAGGCACGCCAAGAGAGCACACGAGTGTGCATCTGTACACACATGAACACACGTGCATGACCACACATGCACACAAGTGGGGGAAGGAGGGAACACTCACAAGTTTAAGGTACAATGTGAATGGCTGAATGAGGAGAGGAAATGAAGACATTAATCACTTGTGCACTTCTAGTACACATTACAAGTGTACTTGGAGACGGCCACGGCTCAACTGCTCTGCACAATGCAGAAATGCAACGTTTAAAGTCATTGTCAATGGGATTTAACCTTATGGCACAGCTATTTATTGCTGAAAAACAGGCTCTCTATATGCTAGCCTCATTCAGCACGTTCATGTTGGAGGAGCTCTGCCTTTGTAACTGGACAGTACCACCAGTTTCTCATGACAAGAGGATCTGAAAGGGTACACTGAGAGGGTTTGGGCCTGGATGCTTGCATCCAGTCAGAGCTGGGAACAGGCACCAAGCACTAGAGTCTGCCAGTTTACATCCATTCATGCTTCCAAATTTTGCTTGCAAATTTCAGCAGGTGCAGATACCTTACCTACACCATTCTGCAACAACATCCTGAGTTTCACTGCCTCTAAATTGAAGCTATTATCTCCTCAAGAATAAACTACAGAACAGATTGGGAAGGCTGACATATCGAGACCTATCTGTAAAACAACAGGCTTTTAAAGTAGTTTTACTTCTTAAAAAGGAGTTTCATTTTTAGTACTTCTCTCAGGTAACTTTTTTCCTAAGGATATTTGCACAAAGAGAAATGTATGTGAGAGAGAGAGATCCCCACATATAGATAATAGATGCAAATAAGAGAACCATTCATGCAGAAGAGATTCTGCAAGGTACTCTCCCTTTTCTGATGGAGCCAAGGATGGAGGGATATATTACCCAAGAAGTCTGACAGCACAATCACTCACCTAGTGCTGTCACCACCACACTGACTGGTGCAGAGGTCCTCTCCACCACTTTATGCCAGCTCCCATTGTGCAGGGGCACCCAGATAGCAGCTTCACAGAAGTAGTAGCCAGAGTCCTCCACATCCACATCACGCACCAAGAGGCGATAGGAGTTCCTGTCCACACGGCTGAGGCTGATGAGAGTTGAATCACTGACAACAGAATCGTGGTCCATGCTCAGCAGGAGCTGAGCATCTGACAAAGTGTCATCAGGTGATGCAGAAAAATACCACATCACCTCTGCCTGGAAAATACCACTTCTGTCTGTTGTGATGTTGCATGTAAGATCCAGGGAGTCTCTTTCGGTCACAGACACATTGCTGGTTGAGATGACCACATCTAGAGCTTGGAAAGAGAGGCACAAAAATTCAAACAAAAAAATTTTTTTTATTTGTTACTTTTAATAAACACAGTTCACTCTAAGTTATCCAGGACTTCACATTCTCTAACAGGAGCTTCTGAAAAGGCTCAGTAGCCCAACCTTCAAATGCCTGTTGGATATTGAGCCGAGTGATCTATTACAAGGGCAATACACATTATCAGTCAAGCAAGGGATGTGTGATGAGGGCAGAGGGGAGAAAGGGAGGGAGAAGAGCATTTTTATGACTCAACAGCAACTGGTCCATGAAGGCTTTCTCTCATCCACAGACCACACATTACCTTTGCACAGCAGGAAAACGTGTACAGGATTTTTCAGTCTCACAAGAGTGTCAAAGGGTTTTGGGACTGCCTCAAAAGACCAAGCATCTACTAGGAATCACTAGGAACTACACTGGAACTCAACATGGTTTCTGCTGACATTTTTGAGCTCCTCAAACAGAGCAGATTTAGATGAGAAGCAGCCATGGCCACATGTGGGAGTCCTGACTGACCTCAGGTGTGCTGGAAAAACATGAAATGGAAGCAAACAGAAGGCAGCAGTAACTCCCTATACTGCTGATCTCTCCACTTACTGCTCAGAACAACACACACCGGAGACTCCAAAGCAACTCCAGCTGCCACTCCAAACACACTTAGCAATCACTGGCCAGTGAATATTTTTAATATACATGGCCAGCATTCAAACAGGACCAGATACAGAATACTAAAAGAAAACCATGGAATCACAGTGTCAAGACCAGGCTACCACGTGTCTTCACTTGCTCACTCACTTGTTCTACGCTGCCTGAAAATTAGATCTGGGTCTCAGTGCAGCACCATTCCCACAGTGTGTCATGCAGCTGCTCTTAAAGTCTCCACTGAGGCCAGTGGACAGGGCTGCTACAGCAGTGGCTCTTCTCAGCACAAGCAAGAATAAAGACACCTGCTTTAAACCAGCAGATGTGTCTCTGCTGAGATTATGTTCTACTACATAAGAATTCCCCATCTGCACAAACCTCCTCAGACTATCACCTGGAATTAGACAAAACACGTGAATGCTAGAGCAAAACTGAGTAGTCAGAACTACTGCCAATAAAACCAAGCAATGCTCATTTTCACCCCTCACCACCTGATAACACAAAGCAGTCAAATTGGACAGAGGGTAGCAGGCCTCACTTGAGGGCAGAAACCAAGCCCAGATGAATCTCTCACTGGGACTTGCATCACTGTCTTATCATTGGATTGGAATCAGTAGGAAAGCCTAGCTAATTTAACAGGATAATACCAGAATACAAAGTAAGACTCATCTGCAAGGTTAAGAGCAGCAATTCTCCAAGCAACATTTCTGTCTTCATGAAAGTGATGGGCATTCACAATCTGGCAATGTATGCACATAGAGGGACTTGGAGAGAGTTTACCCATAGGCATATAACCATTTACATCTCAAATTCTTTTAGCATTCAAGTGCAGAGATTTTAGATGTCAGCACAAGATGCTCTTATACAGGATGTGCATATAGCATTTTTCTGGAGAATAACCTATCCCCTTTAGCATAACTTTAAAAAAGCCTTCATGCCCCTGACAAAGTGCCAGTGCTGCTTATGACTGAGCTTAAAATGAAGGCAAAAAAAACACAAAGAAAAACAAACAAAAACCCCTACAACAAACAAACCACACACCCAAACCACATCAAAAAACTGTACCACTACTGGTCTTGGCCAGCCTTATGCTGTTTTCATCCAGTGGTTAAACCCCACCTACTTAAACCTACTCATATACTGCAAAAGTGTGACAAAATCGAGAATTACAGCTCTTAATTAGGCAAGTCCTGTGTCAGCAGAGAGTACCTGCAAGCTTTGCTGTGGAACAGACACCATGAAAAAGAGGGGGCAGATTGATCCTGTCAAATTTCACTGGCTAAGTACCACCAAGACGTTAAAAGACTCATCCAAATGAGTCAATCAAAAAAATCCAGACTTTTAGGTTCTCTCCATAGTGATTAAAGGATTACAAAAATGAAAAGATACCCTTCCTGTCTGAACAGTTCTAAAATACCATGATAATCTCATATTTCTGAAAGACCATCACTGCCTGTTTTTCCACCTATTGAGTGATAAGGTGCCTCACCCCCACTCTCTCTCCTCCAACCAGCACTGATAATGCTAATGCAATCAAGTGCTTAGTGCATCTAGTCCTGATATCTGTATGGGCAGGGATATCTGGATATCCTCAGCATAGCACTGCATGTGTTTTTGTCTCTTCAGCCAAGCATGCAATGATGTGTTTAACAGAACCGTTACTGTCCCAGACCCCTGCCAAAACAGCAGAGCAATCAGACCAGTGATAAAAATCATTGGGTAATTTGCCCTGTTAAATTATCACTGTCTTCCTCCTTTCTCTGGATCTTTCTAGGCTATTTTAACAAACAGCATACAGAAAAGCTTCAAATCTATCATTGAATCCACTTCCACAGAGGAAGGGCAGCTGTTTAGTGCTATGGAACCCTGTGTTAATAAGAGACCAGAGGGAAGGCTTTGGGTAACCAGGTGTTAAACATAATGTTTATTTAAGAAATATAAAACATGAGCACTCTGAAATGAAGGAAGGATAGAATCTGGGTCTAGGTATCCAAGAGACTCCAGGCAATCCTTCCATGCCATCAACCCCCTTTTCCCCAAAACAAAGCTAGAAAAATGATGTCACGGATGTAAACAGGCCAGCTCTCCAAACAGCACTCCAGCTTCTGCTGGAACGCACCCTCACTTCTTTCAGCTTACCCCAAAGCACCAGGGTCTGGACACAGCCCAGCGCTGCGACCGCAGCCCACCAGGAACACTCACCGGTCCTCTGCACCGACACAGCGGCGATCTCCACGCTCTTCTCCTGGATCTTCTGCCACGAGCCATCTGCCCCTCTCACCCACTCGCTCACCAGGCACCTGTAGGCCCCGCCATCCGCCGAGGAAGCCTGGGACACGGATAACCGGTACGTGTCGTTGGCTCCCGTGTCCAGGCGGATGTCCCCGCTGCGGTAGCGCTCCTCGTAGCCGGGGCCCGGCTGGAACTTGCCCTCGTGAGTCAAAGATAGGATGTCCCGCCAGGAGGATCCGCTCTTGAGCTGCCAGGTCACGTGCAGGTGAGTGTGCTCCGGTGAGGTGGTGACGGCTGAGCAGCGCAGCTTGAAGGAGTCGCCCTCAGACAGCCGGAGAGACGTTGAGGAACGAGCTTTGGAACCACTCACGGACAGCCCGTCGGAAATCACTATTAGAATAAAAAAAAATAAAAAGAACCAAAAGATACAAGCATCATGAAACAGAATCAAGAAGAGAACACCCACAGTGAGCTGTTCAGATGCGAGGCAATAAAACCACCACAGAGCAACACCTTGCCAATCATTCCTTCTTCCGCACAAATACATTCCAGGAAGAAGGAAATTCAGCTGAAAAAATTTCAGCTGAAACAAGCCAAGACAAGAATTCATTTATTCTTCCACTCACTTTAGTTTCTCATTCAAACATTATCATTTTGACTATTCCCACACAAAACTAATCTTCATATTCCTCTGAGTAAAAGATAAGACATGGGAAAAGACAGTGTCCAAATTTAATACTGAAAAATGCTAAGTGATAGAGCAAAGCTAGGACAAGACTGTACTATCAACATATTAAAGGAGAAAAGGAAGATTACCTCCTTCATACAGAAAGATCCCTAAATGACACTGAAACTGAGAGAGAAGACAGCCTGTGGTTTTTACCTGAACTTAGCTTCTCTATCCAGAGGCTTAAGGACATGAAATATTTGCAGACATCTTAGAAAACCCACCAGTTAGTGTTTTATTTACATATTTACTAGGCAGAAAAAAAGAAAAGTGGTGTTTACAGTAAACAGCCTCTCTTCACTTCTTCACCTCATCTGCCTTTGCTATCATATTTCATATTTTAAACTCTGGCTTCAGGAGAATTAAAGAGAAATAAGAAGAAGAAAAAACCAAAAAATCACAATGATCATAAACAACAGAAAGTCAACATTCTTATGGGTACATCTATAATCAATATCAAAAACAAATTTAAAGCACACCTCACTCTTCAGAAATACCTTTCACTTGGACCTCTGCATCATAATTTCCCTGAACGGTGGCATCAGTGCTGGGCGTGGAACATTTGTATCTCCCTTGGTCAGCTGGCTGGATGTTCCTAATCACAAGTTCCACAGCATCGTTGCTGCTCCGTCTCAGTTTGATATCCCCGCGGCCCACGCGTTTTTGGTACTCCTCAGAGGTGAAGGTAGAATCCCAGGTACTCACTATCCGCACGAAGTCAGTGTCCCGGGAGAACTCCCAGTCAAAGTTCTGTTCACTGGGTCCGTCATAGTCACTAACGCTGCAAGGGATCGCCACCTCCGTGCCCACCACCCGAATGAGGGGACCTTTGGGCACTCTCACAATGCGCCCTCTGCAGAAAGCTAGGCAGGAGAATAAAGAATAACACATGGTTAAGGATAGGCTTCAACCAGGAAAAAAACAAAAATTAAATATGCCAAGGTTGGGCATCCCACTCTGCAGAAAGCAAGAACTAGTAAGAGCAATTATTTCCCATTAACATTTAATCTCACTGAAGCAGGAGCCTCTAAAAACACCATTTTTAGTGTGGGCAACCTTTTTTTCACTCCTTACATAACAACACATGAGGTAACAAAATACTGACTGAGACAAAATTGTAAAAAGAAAAAAAAAAAGAAGGGAATTAGACATAGATACAATGGATAACAATTTCTCTTCTACAAGGCAAGTGTAAGATGTTTAAACAACATTAATAAGTGGTTTTTATTACTACAACGAGGGCATAATCTAATCAGGAATTTTTATAAAGACTTCTGCTGATACCATTAGAGAGTCTGAAGTAGGAAATTAATTCTCCCCTAGACTGAGGGCCATGAGAACTTTAAGTTGACGGTGTCCAAAAATGAGTACAGTCACAGCTGCCCTGAAGGGTCATGGCTTCTCTCACACAGGTGAGATTCCTTGCCCTCCAAATTGAATTTAAAAGGAAGAAATGATTACAGCGGACACCATTTGCTTGAGTGGATTTCTGCAACCACAAGTTTCCTATCTGGTGAAGGCCTAGAACCCGGGAACATGAGCAGAGCAGGCTCCCTCTGAAGCAGAGGAATACAGAGTGCTCAGACCGTGTTTTCTGGTACCATCTCAGCAGAAGGAAAGAAGGACAACAGCAGTTTTCTGCAGAAGGCTGGCAAAGCAGTATGCTATGCTCCAGGCAGAAGTGTGAAGCACTTAAACAAGCCAGAGGACCTGGCAAAGACACAGCAAGAAGAGACTCTTTTGGTTGATTTGGCTCTGTAGTCGAGAGAATAACCCCAGCAGCTGCACATGGATTTTGGCAGGTCCTTACTTCTCCAAAGAGCAAACTGCTTTGATTCGTAGCTCCAACCAGAGAAATCTCTTAAGAGATGAGTACTAAAACTCAGCCTCCAAATATGAACAGCTTACTGCATCCCACCACCTCCGCATCCATAGCAAAATATTTTAGCAGCCAGGTAGAAGCCAGAACTCTGAAAGACACATCTTGATACAACCAAGTAGACATTTAACAACACCAAAAGCAATTGGACAAAAAAAAATTATCTGAGATACCACAGAGGAAAAGATAAATTTAAACAATCAACCCCCCAACACACAAAGTACAGCATCCCACATCTGCTACAATTCACCAAATCCACTTGGAAAGCCACCTGCTAGTGACATGAACACCAATATATTTGCTGAGCCTTTCCCTCCTATCACTCTGCACATCTTCTTGCTGCAGATTAGGACTCCACTTGCTGGCTCAGGCTCATCATGCCAATGGGTGTTCAAGTGTGGGCAGAAGAGTCTTGTGAACAGAAACCCCCCACTGGGGAACCTGCTATAAAGCACAGCTTATCCCCTCCAGAGCAGCGTTGAGAAGGATGTGTTAAAGGGTAAGATTGCTGTGAGCATTTAAAAACTACACAAGCAGCTGTACACTGTACTGAGCACAACTGCAAGAGAAAAATCATAATTTTATTTGCAGTTACACTTCAGCAAACAGTTGAACCAAGGACTGACACTGCCTTTGCCTCCCCAGTTCAGAACTCTTATCATGCTCTTTACTTTGCAGGCTGTTCACGTGTACAGGCTCAGTCATAATAGTCCAATTTCCTCACTGCCATGACCTTCTGTATTCAACATTAGTACTTCATTAAACTTATTTGTAATGCAGACTGGGGTTAATCTCCTACCCCTTCTATCCCTCCCAGGAGACTGTTATATACCTGATCAAGTGATTGACTAGTCCTAATAAGGGAGCTGGACTTTGCTGCACCATTCACATGTGCATTGGAGAGTAAAACCTCCACTGACAGTGTATTGTTCCATGGACAGATGTCTTCAAGGACACATCTCCTAACCTAACCACCATGCTAAAATCATAAAATCATCCATACAGAAAAAGAATCAACAAAAAATAAAGCAAGCTACAGGGCTCTGATATACTTCCTCTCAAAGTCTTAAATTGCATTCAATCCTTCAACTTATCCTCTTACAGAAAGCAGCAGCAGCAGGTAAAGCTTTAAAGCCTGGCAGTCAAACCAGCTTCCAGCAAACCACTGTGAGAAGTCAGCTCAGGATCCTGACTGAGGGCACTCTTCAAACACTGACATCTCTCTAGAAAATACTCTCTGGTGACACTAAAACAAGCAGACAACACTGTTCTGCATTTGTCTTCAGCTGTAGACCCACATACCATGCACTGCACTAATCCAATCTAGAGGTGACAAAGGCATGACTAACGTGGCAAGGGCTGCGCGTTTGTGTTTGAGATTAGTACCGACAGCTCTGTTTCCCTTCCTCCAAGGTCATTAAAGACCCTTTGACACTAAATGAAGGTAGGGGGTGATTAGCACCTTCCTAGGAAAAGGCAAAGCGAAGTGAAAGACAGGAGCACAGGGAGTCCTCACCAGATCTGTAAAGCCAGGACTATCCCCCTCCCCACAGCACAGTCCCACAAGCTTCACCCAGGGCTGGAAGGAAGGCAGTGGGACAGACTGCAGGAGAGAAGAGGGATGAGGTGTAACCGAATTTCATACTTTCCAAATAATAACATTTGTTATTGCTAAGATAAATCAGGATTCTGGTAAAGCTGGAGCAGAGGCAACATCACCAAACAGGAGAATGAGGAGCTGCTCTGCCCTCCCCACAAGTGAGGAGGAGTGTGCACAGGGCAGGCACTCCAAGGATAAGCTGTACTTCTAAGTGACCCAGCAGGCTGTGAATTCAAAGTTCTGCCTTTGGTCCTGCAGCAAGGCTATCCCTAAGAGACTAAACAAGGTGTTATGTTCTTTGCTGTGCATCAGGGATTAACATTTCACGTAACTGGCAGAAGTAGCTACAGACACAGAGCTACAGACACCAGTCTTGGCAAAAGGTGAGCTCCATATTACTCCGGCAGATAAGTGAGAAGCTTTTGCAAGTATTTTATTCTTACAGACCCCTGTGTTATGTTGCATACACCCCCTCACCTTCCCAGTGCAATCATGATACAAGAGCTTAAAACTATGTAAATTTGTTGGAAACATTTCTTTTCCATGACACCCAATATATTTCACTGTTAATATAAGGTGACAGGTTCTTAATGAATTCATCTGAATCCCATTTAACTATAGAAACAGATGGAGGAGGACAAAACAATGTATACACTTGTGAAAGAAAACAACAGAACTTTGACAATTCTGTATTTCTCAGTATCACTGATCCCACCAATGATGTGTATTTAGTAAAAACTCGGTAACTGGATCTGAGTTAGCGTTGGACATCAAATTTGCCAAAGCACAAGGTTAATTGCCTAAATACAAAACTTTATTTTTAATTGAATTACACAACCACCAGAGGAAATTGCAAGGAACTATTTTCCAAAACAAAAGGTAATGGAGCCCGTGTAAGGAGGAGAGCACACAAACACAAGGCATGGGACATATTCCTTGGGTTCATGAAACAGGTGATAGCACTACCAGGCAACACTGGTCCTTTGGCAGGGCTGGGCCAGAAACACACAAATGTAAAACAACCACAAAGCTCTCGTGGGTATTTGTCAAGCACTTGATTAGAGGATTCTCCCATGGGAATGCAAGAAATACTCCACCAGAAGTATGGACAAAGTGTGGCTCAAAGTAGAATAAAAATACACTGCAGTCTGCCATATTAGTGAGACAGAGGCAAAATAGCTCAGACATATCCAAGGCAGCTTTGGGCTAGTATTTTTTCCCTAGCAATGGTTCATAAATTTGTACCACCACTCAGATGCACCATCACGTTGCTGGCATTAAATGAAATCCTTCCAAAAATGAGAACAAGGAAAGGAGATGATTGAATAGATGGGTTGTGAAGTCAATCTGAGTACATTTAATAGCAACCTGTCATTTTTAGGATAACCAAGAAAACAAGGCAACAAAACTATGCAGGATCTACAGAAGAGGTAGGTTGTTTAAACTCTCAACAAGCTACAAACCTCCTCAAGGAAAGGGCTGGTTAAGGATTTCCCCTTGCATTAGGAACATGTGGAAAGTTTTCTAGGAGCTTCATTTCCACATACAATTTGCATCTATGCATTACTTAGGAAAGAACAAGATGAAAAGTAACCTGTGGAGTCATCCCCAAGGCTGAGAAGGTATTATTGTTGCAAAGAACATACTTGTGCTTCAGCACTCTCTTTCACAAGGTGCTTCCTCCAGCCTGCACTAGACAGCTCTATCTAATAAGAAAACATGTTCTCGTAGCAGCCCAGAGAAGGAGGTCGCCTCCACATCCGCCAGCCAAAGGAAAATGCAATCTGACATGCAGTAGGAAGCCAATTAAAGTCAAAAAAGTAAGAGCTAACGAATGAGTAAATTGGCTCAGACTAAGCACTCGAGCCTCTGCATCAGAAAGACTTAGAACACGCAGTCCAGCTCCTCAACCAAGGCAGTCACAGGAGACGCAGCGACAACTTTGCTGACGCCTTTCATCTCAAAAGAGCTTTCCGAACAAAAGGTTGTTTCATTTGCCAGCTAAACATTACCATGTCTGGGAAGGAAATACCCAGCAGCCCTTTCAAATTCACAGCAGTTTATGACTGGGGAAAAAAATTCTGCAGCAAACTTTACAAATGGTGGTAACGATCCTCCCTCCCTGAACCCCTCCATTTATTTCCAGTCCAAGCAACACCTGCTGCAGCACCTGGGAGTGGGCTGAGCAGGGACAACCCTTCTTGTGCCACACTGGAGTGTGAGCAATGGATCCCTTACCATTAAAGATATTTCTAGCAAAACCTCATTTTTGTACTGAGCTGCTTAACTATAGTGCTTGTGATGCATGAAGCCATTTTCCAAACTGAAGGAAAAAAATAGTTTTGCCTTTTTTTTTTTTTTTTTTCCCAGCCCACCAGTGTCACATCCACTCAAATACTCTTCCTCCATTTT